AGGTAGGCAAGAGCACAAAGACAGATTTATATGCATTTTTCTAAAATATTACTGGTATTGTTGTTCAAATTTATATTAGGGGAAACAGTTTAATATCTGGACAAGTCTAGAAAGCAATTTTTTTCCCAAAAAGTGAAAGGTTTATTAGAGGAAGGACCCAGAATCAGGAATCCACTACATTGAATTTCTTCATGACAGCGTCCAAACCCGCATGTCCTGAAGAGTAAAGGGGTTTTCTGGATGAACAGAAAGTTAATGTTTTTTTTCAAATTAACAATATTCGCTAGATCTTTGACCTTTTGACATTTGTCTATTTCCAAACTTGATAAAAAAAACCTTTCAGAAGAAAAAAATCCAGGAAATCATTGGATCTGCGAATTTCCAGTATACTAAGGGTCTACTTAAAAATGAGTTCTAAAAAATGTTACGGACATGTGTTTGAATTAAAAGAGATTAATAAGTAAAACCATGAAGACTTAATCATTGAAAAGCGTCGCTTGCTTCTTTCTGAGCACCGAGGACATTATTTATTGAACAGCCCTCGTACATGAACAATTTCAACTTGATGGCTATGTTCTCAAATTTACTGGTTTGAATATATTTTACTGAGTTTAAGTAACAAACAAAGTTGCCTTATAAACAGCATAACACAATTTTAGAAAAGATCAATTTGTAATTTTATATTATGGACATTTAAATCTAATTACAAAATATTCATTCCAGGTATTAACACTTTACAACTTACAAAATTGTTATGCAAAATAAACTAAATCCTCACGTCATAGAAATATTACGTTACCATTTCCCCGCAAGCACTTTCTAGCAGGGTGCAAGTTTCTCTAAAGTTTAGCGTAAATAATATCATGACGTAATATTTTAATTAGAAAACAATTTTTCTTATTTTATGAGATTAAGTAAGTATGAAATAGTTGGACTTTGACAATAAATTGAAGATTTAATGAACTTTTTAAAGTGCGTGAAAATGCGTGATTGCGAGGAAACGGTAAATGCGTGATGTTGCATCAGAAATAGGAAATGGTATTTGCGTTAAGATGCGTGACTGCGGGGAAGGGGGTTAAATTATGGGCAAAACATTTCATTGCATTTCTTCAAAATAACATATATAAACGAGAGATGTCGATGTCGTACCTGAAACAAAATTTCAAAGTTGACAAAATAAATACTGTATACAGGGTTATTTTCGCCCCGTGTTATTTTCGCCCTTTCACGATTGAAAACAATTTTGTCCCGTTTTAATTTCGCCCACTTATAGTTTTGTTTAAGAAATGATACTGTAATCTTTGAATTCGCCCTGTTTTAAATTCGCCCAATAGAGGTAAGGGCGAAAGGGGCGAAAATAAAACGGGGGCGAAAATTTCCCTGTATACAGTAATCAGAAAAATAGAATCTTTGATTCTTAAAGTACAAGGAAATGTGTATACAAACGCGACTCAAATTCGTAATTAAATTTAAAATCCTAGGAAAAAGAATTTTCGTAGCATACTATACTAATTAATGTGTAATGTTATAACAACATATATATATATTTTTTATACTGTATAAAAAAAATGAGAAATATTGATTCTAAACATGTGTTTAGTTGAATGTACCAACTGCTCACATTGTTTTAAATAAATACAATGCGGCAGAATTCAATATGATTTTAAAATATATCTATGGCTTGTTATATGCTTAGACGGTGTACAATTTGAAGGATATTGTGATAATTTTGATCACAATAGTTACATTAAGTATGTTTAGAGAAATTTTTACTGTACAGTATTACTATATCATTATCCCTTCATAACGTGTTATGGTAGGTACTTGTTTGTAGTTGAGATGAGTGAAAAATCCAATTTTCAAATAAATTTGACTTAAAATAGAATTAGACAGAGTATAATTTGGAGAAATATGACAATCTTAATTCTCTAATACATATGCACATGTCCTAAGGTTTTACTTCAATATCGACCCTAAGCTTGTCCCTAAACATAAGAATATAGCGAAATAAGCAATGTTAAATATATATGACGCGTAATGACTTTTGGTCCAGATGTTTTATTTGTAAAACAATGAATAGGCGTCATAAACATCACACGTATTTTCCTAATGTTCTTCACCTTATTTTTTCCACATTCTCAAATATTTTGAGTTAAAAACAAAGCCAATTATTTTTTTTTGTAATTAAAGAGGGGACATAAAAACTCAAGTTTGTAGTTAAATAATTTTTTTTTTGCTTTCTCTCTTTAAACCAAGGGGAAATTTAAACTTAAGTTTGCACTTATATCATTTTTTTTGGCTTTCTCTCGTTAAACTACTTTACAGTGGTAAATAAACATGGTTTCGTGTATTTAGTACATGCAGCGAAAGTACAAATATTTTCTCCCTTGGTAAAGCATTACCTCTGTTGTCAAAGTAAGCTCTTCTGCTCGATTTTCTGTCGACTGTGATTATCTTATGTACATATAAAATTACAGTATGAGCCAGAGTAGTGTTTTGTCTAGTGCAAGTTCTCTCGAAAAGAAACAAGAATATGAATTTATTTTAAACAATCAAAAAAGTCTATGTGAGTAAATCTACAAATTAACGGGAGTTCTACATTAAAATGAAACATCAGCAATGCATCCATCTACATTTTGTCGTCTGCTTTTTCATATTGGTGAAGTTCTTCATACGTGTTTTGGTGGTCGAGTTCACTAAGTTCTGCATAAGGGGAAGTTACCCTGTTCGATAAGAAAATAATGTTTGCATTAAGACGTCAATCTTTGAATAAGAATTTATTTGAGTGAAAAATTATTAAAGAAGGGAGCAAAAAACAATACTTACACATCACACCCACTTTGTTTATCTGCAAATTATAAAAGAAAACTTAAAAAAATTACTACCTTTCGGAAAATTTTTAAATTTTTATGCCCCAGAATCGAGAGATATTCTTTTGTCCCGTCTGTCTGTTTGTCTGTCTGCTTGTGTGTAGGCCACAACTATTGCGCTGTCAAGGGTAGGTACATATGTATATACCACTTCATTCTACATCCCACTCCAGAATTGTGTTAAATTAGGGGACATAGTGTTTCACAAACAGAACTTGTTTTAAAACATGTAATACTTTTGATATTTTCATTTGTTACCAACAGCTTTACATACAGATTTTAGTTTTAAAATATTTTTCCCTACAGTTCGTGGCATTTGTAGATGGTTTATACATGTATATATATAATAATCTACCAGAATATGATTGTAATGGAAACTTTTAACATTACTTATAAGGTTTTGATAAGTTGATTTCAAGTACCACAGTATTATTGGTTGTATCTTTTTTTTTACTCCATTCAATGTTGTAGACATAGAATTGAAACACCATAGAAATAATCACCGTTAAAGTTGTTCACAATATCGTGTCTTTATGATAAAAATGACCTCTACATGTCTTTATTTGATATTACCTCCTGTACTCACAGGTGAAAATTCGTTGTAATACTCTTTGTCATTCTTGGTGTCAAAAACCGTCCCTTTCTCTGTAAAAGAAAAGTTACATGACAAAGAGATAAAATAAAATGTACCAATTTTTAACGGTTTTGGCAACCCACTTAGTCCATCAATTTTTTTCTTTCCAACACATCATCAGCCGAAATATGGCTGAAATATTGCCGACTCGGCGTTAAACAATATACAATCAATCAATCCAACACATTATATGTTTGAAAAATTATTACTTTTTTCTGGATAGTAAAGTAGTTTATTGGATATTTTCTTATTCAAGGATTATTTTTTGTTATAAAAATCGCAAGAAAATAAACGATAACTTAAGTGAGATATGAGAGAAATTGCTAGTAAATTAAAAATAAATCAAACTTTTGAAATTATAGACTTAGATACATAGATGGAATTAAAGAAAATATAAAACTTGCGCTGCATTTTCCTCCAGATGTAAAAGTTTAAGGCACTGCCCATCATAACAATTAGTATAGAGACAGTCACACTTGTAATGGTCACTGTGTAGTCAATCTTACCATTGTCGCAAGATTGTGACTACAAAAATTGGACAAAAAGAAAATTTGCGACTTTATTATGTATTTATTGTTCATCATAAAATGAAGTGTACAATCACATATTTAAAAAAACCTATTTTAATGTTGTCACTTCCTTCGATTGTTTATTTATGTTACCTCACCTGTAGGGACGATATACAATGTCCTGATTCGTGATGAAAAGTCTGGCTGATAAAGTCTGTACTACAACGCTCTTTACAATTGACTCCCCAGTACGATGGTCTACAGACTACATAATAAACAATAGAGCCAAGGACCTTAACTCACCTTGCGCATTCATGATCAAAATCAATATTAAAATGGATCTCGTAAGCCCTACCACAAAACAACAACTTGCGAAACCATTTAAAAAAAAATTAATATTCTTTGGTTTATCCTCATTGATAGATGCAATAAAATTATTAAACATATAATAGATTAAAGAGAAAACAAATTTCAATAAAAAATTATGGTTACGAACTCTGACCGATTTTGAAGAATTCTGAAGAAATCACGAAGAAAAACTTTGTGTTCCTTAGTTGAACAATTATTAAAGATTTTCCTGTATCAAATAAGATCCACAAAATATGAAAATTAAATAAAATGAAAGTAAAAATCCTGCAGCATTTTACACTTTTCTTATTTAGTTAAGAAACAATTTAATTTTTCACTATTATTGTAACTTAATTATCCGGAAAACATGGTAGACATTTAGATTAATTACTCGGTTTTATAATATTTACATGTAAAGCGTTCAATAAATATACACATAATCATTAATTTGTTTTAGGATACATGAACGAACTTATTACTGCAGATGCATATAGGAAAAAAGGTCATCCCTACAACTTTTTTTCGCACGAAATTGCAGTTATCAAACCTTTAACGTAAACAAGAAGTAATTTCACATATTATAAGATAAAATAAATATTTTATTTATACAAAATAAAGTAAATATAACATATTTCATACCATTTGTACAAAGAACCCCGTCGTATCCTACAGCACACCCTTCTGAACATGTACCGTTGACATGGTTACACGTGGAATTGTTCATACAATGTCCACAGCTTTGGTTGCAGTTATAGCCATACTTTCCATCTTCACACGCTATTAAAAAGGATAATTATTATTGATTTAGTACAAACAAGATCAAAATGAGTTTTGACTTTGTTACAGCGTACATTCCTTCGTCACATTCTATATACTTGTAGAGGTTTTTGTTTAAAAAACAAATTGATGGTGAAACGATTTTATTCTGTAATCTCTCTGTATAGTGTTTATAGAACACATCTTAACATAAATGGCTGTTTCTTACCTTTAGTACAAAGCAATCCTTTGTATCCAATTGAACATCCTTGTAAACAAGTACCGTTTATATGGTCACATTGTTCGTCGTCTAAACAGTTACCACATTTTCTGTTACAGTTCTCACCATACATTCTACCATCACATCCTTAGAAATAGAAATAAAATACTTATCATAAATTTTATTTTTCAAATAAATTAGTAATGTTCTGCGAGCAAAAAAAGGTTGGTTTGTCCAACCTCGAAAATGACATTTTTTCGCCCTAGGTGTTACTGAGAAAAACTCCTTTGTTACGAACATTTGACTCCAAAAAATCCCTATAATTCAGGAGTGTGAGGGAACTCTATTGTTACGTAGAATGTACAATTTTTAATTCATTCTGTAAGTTCTATAAAATTTTATCGTAAAGTTTGGATCGAGTGTCCAAAGAATTAAGGGCTTTTAACTGACGTCAGAAAGGGGGAGGGGGTTCCTTTTCCAACATTCTATAAAATTTTGCCCCTGAAAAAACTCGTATAGACCTAGGAAATGTTTAAACTGGCTACAGAGAAATTAAATTCATCCAGAGTACATGTTTAATGTCACAATAGATTCAGAGAGAAAAGGGATTAACAGTAAATGTCGATTAGTAGCTAAGGTGTGAAAAAGTTAAATAGTTAAAAAAATAAAGATTATTTTTGGTAGATATTGAACTTCAAAAAGCAAAATATGCTGACATCTTTTTTACTGGAAGTATAAAATATTTTATTCACATGTTGTTCTTATCTATGTTTTCCCAAATACTCGGAATATTTCTGTATTTTCATACTTCAACACTTATTTTCATACTACACATTTAATTGTGAAATATTTATTTGTTTGACTGATGGTTTCTTAAACACATTATTTTGCTCTCTTCACGATCTATAACTATGTTGTTGTTTATTCTTACCCTCACGAGAAAGATATTTTTATTTCATGTTATTTCTATCGCTAATTTAGTACAACCAACGTATTTTAAATAGTTTTATGATTGAGTTTATAACCTTATTTTAAAGATATTGACTGGAAAATGCAATCTAAGTGTGGCTTTGATTCTGTATCAGTCTCTCCATAGCGTGAATTTTGAGATCGTTATGCTCACTTCTTGATTGCATGGAGCTAAGTTAGACAAGATATAAGCATTCTAAAACGAATCCTGTTTACATTTTTCGAACACGGGAAAAACCAAACTATGAAGTCACGTATTTTTCTATTATAATACGGCTCGTGAATCCGGCAACTATATTTTTCTGTTGTAAAAAATCGTCTATAACGTCAACTTGTAGGATGTATATTACAGAACAACAGAAGAGAGAATAAATCTATTCCGTAATTTTCACCATTGTTAATCAATTCGTTTTCGCTACACCTTATTTCCGCGAATCAGCTATTCAATATGTATAAACTCATCAAAATATTTGCGAGATTTTTATCTGTTGTATACAATACTTCATAATATAAATATTTGCGAAAATTTAAGTTTCCCTAGTAGACAGACGGATCGCGTAATTACGCGAAAAGAAAGTTCTTGCAATCTAAATGTGGTTTACACTTTAAGAAGAAAGAAAAACAAATATTAATACAAGTAAAATATTATAAGTTTATTGAACTTATATTGGTGAATATTGGCACAAGTTGTCTGTACAAATGCACAAGCTTGCGAGTGCATTTGTAGTGCCAACGAGTGTCAATACTCACTAATATAAGTTCGGTAACTCCTTTGTTATATAGCTAAACATTTCCTCATTATTTATAATAATTATTCCTACTAACAAAAACTGTTAATGATCTTTTACAATCGGTATTCAAATTAACGTTTGTCCTGCTAGTGTTCAATATCGCATCATCCAATAATCCTATCGAGCATTATGATTTGCTTTTTTAGGTTTCAATGGGTCTAATACGTACTTAATTTTCAAAAAAAATAATTATTGAATGCACTGACACAGTCCTAACTAAAAGGACTTGGCTGTCATTACGTCAAAATGGTTAATTTCACACTTCTTATATTATAACGTCACGTACTACGTAAAATTAGTGCGATATTATACAATTATGGACGAGTAGAAGCCTCAGTCAATATCAATATTTTACTGGTGAAAAACAAACCATATTCAACACCAAAAGAGTCCATAATTGTTTTATCATTTAGTCGGGATTTGGATAAATAAGACATTGTAGGCTGTATGACGACACCATTTTCGTTTGCTATCTTTAATTGTTAAAAATAAAAAAAAAAATCTCCAGATTACTCTTTGTAACCTCCATGTTTTCCTTTCCAAGTTTTGCTATGTGTAAGACGTCCAAATGTTAAAAAATAATCCTGAAATAGGTTTGAATAATTGTTTATCTGTTCAGATAAGTAGCTCGCTGCGGCCGTTGCAACCATTGTTTACAACGTTGTTTGATGTTTTGGTTGTGACGTCAAAATGCCGTTGCACGCGCATTGACCCTCAGGTGAATACGGCCTAAAATCCGGTGAATATGTAGTGTTATGAACTGTTTGCGTTCGTATAGATTATATAGGGACTATAAATAGACTTTATAATATTTTCTGCAGACGCGCTTTCGCATCGATATCACAAATGGAGGAATATCACGTGACGTACTTTCAGCCAATGAAAACTACGAAAATAATCTTTTTATTTAATATATGGAGATAACGAACAGTATAAATTTATGACGTTATTAAACTGAATCATTTTACCATGATTACACTCTTACTAGTGTTACATAGGGAGTCTGTATATCCAGTAGAGCAGCTGCCTATACAGCTGCCGTTGATATGATGACAGTCTCTTTCATTAATGCCATTCCCACAGGTTTTATTGCATTTCAAGCCATACCTTCCACCGTCGCACTCTGCAAACAAATATTGAAACATTTAAGTATATGAAGTAACGTGTCCACCGTCATATTCTTTTATATTCTTTTAAAAGTAAACATATTTTTGATGCACTTTTATAAATCAATATTCTAATTCTTTGATTGATATCATTCAAGGGTTATATGAAAGTTGTAAGAAATAACTTTTTTTGCCAAAATGAATTACCCTAGGCATACTTAGTGTATACCAAAATATTTGTCATGAAAATCATAGACAGAATAGTTTTATTTTGATTTTCTGAACTTTGTATTTTTTGTAAAAATCTAGGCTTTGAAAGGTCGCATAAAGTATGAAGGACCCAACGTTAAATGTCATAATTTTTTTAAAATTAAATATTGTAATAAAAATTTTAATTTGCTTTAAAGCAAGTCAAATGAAAAGCTTTATAAAATACAATATGTCACCAGTGAAGCTGCTAAACGGGCATCATACGTGTTGGTTACTGTACAGGTAGTGAAAAATATTATAAGATAAAACGTATGAAATATGTCAGAAAATATTGACGGGGACGTCAGTAATCCAAATTGAACAGCATCATATGCAAAAAAAAAAAAAATTAAACAAAATAAAAAAAAATAATTCATAATTTGATATGACTGTCAGGGACAAAATGTTCATTCATATTAATTACCTTCACTTATTGACAATGATTGTTATATATTTATTTTGTCATGTCAAACGTTGTTGTATTCGATTTTTTACAATTATTTTTATTCCTATTGACAAACAAGTTGATGAAACAAGAATTTCAACACTCTCGTTTAAAGTAATCATTTCGTAAGTTGTATTTTCTATACAATGACCTTGTCAGAAAATACAATTATCATTAAGTCCGGATTTTTCTGTTATTTTCCGATGATGACAAGGAGGACACGGCATGTGTGACCGGTCGGCAGGGAATGCTTACTCCTCCATTACAACTGATCCCACCTCCTATGTTTTGGAGGTCCGTATTTTCTATTTTATACTGTTTTATGGACTTTTGGTCTTGAATACTGTTTCGTTATCTCCGTATGTTTCATTTATACTCTATATTTTTCTAACTGTATTGTATATAAAAGTTATACATTACAATTGAAAAATCAAAGAATACAAATAAAATTATATACTTCATATGGAACATTTAACAATACAAATACAAAATTATTAAAGAGAAATAAAATTAAACAATACAAATGCAAAAGATCGGGACAACTGCACTTTACCGGTACGTCCAAATAACATGGAAATAGCACGTGTTCCTTCTCTATAAGAGAGTCACGCGTCAGCGTGACGATTTCGCTAAAAAGGCAATAAAATGCAAAAATAACCTATTTTTTGAATTCATCGTCATTTTTCATGTTAATAAACTTCGTTTAATTAACGAAGTTATTAATTAAAACTAAAAGCACTTTCAAAACAAACCTTTGGCTTTCATTTTGTCGGCCACATTCCAAAGTCGTGACGTTGTTAAGCACGTGACTTATTTCAGTGCTGTGATTGGTCAGGGTAGGTGACGTGAAATAGAAAGTTTGACTTCCACTCTATTTGATTGTAAACAGTGATTCATCATGCACCTTATTTAAGATGATTTGTGTTGTGTTTTCTATGAATGGATATTTTTAATTGACTGACTGCAACATACTAGAATTTTTGGAAATTTTAGCGATAAATGTGATCCTTAGTTTATGGAAATGTTGAATAAGTGGAGGGGCAAAACTTGTAAACATGCAGTGAGGACGGTCTTGTTTCGAGAAACAGCAATCGGCAGTATAAGAAAAATGAAACGTAAGAGTCACATCTTAGATTTCTGGA